TCACAACAGGCAGTGCCTCTAGTAGCGAAAAAAAAGGAAATGTTCCTCGTCGTAACCAGCGTCTCAGTATTATGAGGACTGTGCAGCTAGTCTACCATAAAGGGAAGGGAGGGGGTGATTTCGCCGCTTCCAAAAGAATGATATTGTACTATGAACACGTCCTAAGTGATGGCTTTGAACAAGGTAAAATTTGCTGTTTTACTCAAGGATGAAGTATAGTATTGTTGCTGAACAGCTCAAATCCCTCAGAAATATCAGACATCTCGAAAATTTGTTATGGTGGTTAATTACGTCAAGGAGATTGGTCGTTGTCAGATATCCTGCAGCTTTCTTTGCCCACCCACACTTTCAAACCAGCTAAATTCTGATGCCAAATCCCAGTTCATCATTGGTGCTTTAGAAGGGTCGTTACAGATTGCATGACAAAAGGTCGAATAACTTAGTAGAACAGGCGAGGGCTTTGCACTTTTTAAAAAGGCTGGCTATGATGGACGTCGACATGTTAATACCCGATAATTAAGCAAAATTATCACAAATTTGTTCTTGATAAGGCTTTTCTACATGACGAAAAAGGCCAAATTTTGGTAAGGGTTCTTCATTATAAAATTACACATCTTATCGCAGTCAAAGCAGCAAAAATATTTTAGAATAGAAGCCGCCACTGGAGCCTGTGGTTACAAACACGCAAAAGTTTCACGCTGGATCCCTGTAGTTCTTTTTTTCCGCGTACTTGCTAAAATAGCTTATTTGAAGAGTTGAATTGGTTGGCACAATGTTGATTAAAATTGCGATCTAATCAGAAAGGAGCAATAGATAACAAAGATAGGAAGCATATTTACAAAAGCATATTTACGTTCTGTGACAGAATCTGAAAACACAGAAGCAGTTTAGCAAAGTGAAAACTTAGGGACGAGGTTATCTTAACAGCCGAATATAATATTACTAGCAAAAAAGTGCCTACATTCACTCGCCTGCAAATTAAGAAATGTTGGTTCATTGTAGCGAAATGCAGTGTAAGCAATATATTCCATCCTGTCGGCCAAAATCAAATTATCTAATCTACGAAATGTATGCAAATACGAAGTCGAAAGTTCGGAAGCAGAAAATCAAAAAAATAATTTCTTAACTTAGATTTAGTAAAGTTCTTTTCTTTGCATAAGCACGGGAGAAATATATCCGCTCACCTCAGTCCTTACAAGCCTGCTGAGTTTTGAAGGGTAGGAAAAATCGATGAGGGAACTGTTATCTGGTAGCAATGAATGCTGATAAGGAGTGCTCGTAACACGTCACTCTTTTTTGATTTATACTTAATACTCTTAAAGATGTGTACTTTATAAATATTTTTATGCTAGACACAAATAGCCTATAACCTATAGAAA